CCAGTCAGGACTCATGGTGAGCTGCAGACCAATGAGAGACCCTGACTTAAAGAAGGTCAATGGCTTGTCATGAAGACAATAAAGTTGTCTTCTGGTATACACATGTGCAATCTCTCACACATGAACACACATGTACATGCACATACATACATACATATGAAATAAATGAAGAAGAAAGAGAAAGAAATTTATTGCTAGAAGATTTTAAAAGGCAGATATTATTTTAGGTAGTGGATTAATACCATTGGATTAGAAAAGGCAATAAAAGAAAGGTTCAAATAACTCACCTGTATGAGATATTTCTAAAACGTTCTTTGGGAGGTAAGAAAATAGAGCATATTCTTCATAAGGTAACTTCAGGTGCTTTTAATGAAAGATTGGTCAAAGAGTCAACATTATAAGCAAAATAAAGATGAAAAAGAATAGACATTGAGCAGTGTGCTGGGATAGACCAAAGGCTAAAATAAAGGGAGCATTGCTTTTTCTTCCAGTAAATTTGCTCCATATTAATGGAGGGATGTACTCAAAACAATTTGAAATGTGAACTTGCCAGTAGATATATTGTGCAATTGATTTTTAGTATGCCACTAGATGCTGTGGGATGGTCTGTATGTCAATGTGTTGCTGATTGGTCAATGAATAAATCACTGATTGGCAGTGGCCAGGCAGGAAGTATAGGCGGGACTAACAGAGAGGAGAATTGAGAGAACAGGAAGCTGGGTGAGAGAGACACTGCCAGCCGCCATCAGGACAAGGAAGATGTAAAGTACCGGTAAGCCACAAGCCACGTGACAAGGTATAGATTTATAGAAATGGATTAATTTAAACTCTAAGAAAAGTTAACAAGAAGCCTGCCACGGCCATACAGTTTGTAACCAATATAAGTCTCTGTGTTTACTTGGTCGGGTCTGAGCGGCTGTAGGACTGGGAGGTGAAAGAGATTTGTCCTGACTGTGGGCCAGGCAGGAAAACTCCAGCTACAAGTAGATTTTTTTTCAGGGTATCTTAAAAACAATAAAATTAAAAAAACTGTATGTCTTGTGGCTCTGTAGGTAAAATACCTGGTTCTCAGAATTAAAGTAAAAAATTAAACCAACAACCAGTCAAAACATCTCCTGTTCTCTAGTTAGAAAGTTGTAAATCCGGGCCGACACACCCATGTCCTGCAATCTGATGAGCCAAGGGAAGATCTAACGCCCTCTACTGATAGGAACGGGACAACTGCCTCAGATCTTCCAGTGATGCTGCTTCAGGGAACAGATGTTCACGCAGGTTCTAGTTCCAGTAGAGTTGGATAGCCAAAGGAGAAAGGGATGTCTGGTAGGTGATGGTCCTAGCTATTGTCACAGAAGGAGTTATCAGGTTCATAAGAGGAAGGACACGTGAACTCGTCCAAAAGGAATTGTCCATGATTTTGATACTGTATGGATCGTTATTCAGCAGCATCGTCATAGAATGTGTATCAGGAAGTGCCTCCTCTCTAGAGGTGCTTCATTTTATTTTGTGGGAAATGCAAAACAAAGGTTTGTACTTATAAGTAGAACCACTCCCACCCCCCCACCCCCCCCACACCCCCACCCCCGTCAGTACAGAAGCAAAGACAAGCCTGGATGCCCAATTCTCCCTGGAGAGAATGGTAGTAGTCAAGGAGAAAATGTTACTTTGTATTTAAAAAAAAATGATTTTCAGAGGCAGGTATACTATTCAGCTACTTGAAAAGCTAAGGAAAGAGAATTATTTCAGCTCATGAAATGAGGCTAGCCTGGACAATATAGCAAGACTATTTCTTTAAGGGAAGTGTGTGTGTGTGTGTGTGTGTGTGTGTGTGTGTGTGTGTGTGTGTGTGTGTGTGTGTAAGTAACATATTTTCAGGCACTGCCATTCCACTGCTACACTAAAAATAAACTCAGTTCTTGGGAGATGGTAGAGGCCAAAGGATCAGGAGTTCAAGGCTAGGCTCAGCTACATAGTGAGTTTGAGACCTTCCTGAGCTGTATTAGATCTTATCTCAAAACCAACCAACCAACCAACCAACCAACCAACCAAACTAACAAAATCCCAAACCTAACACAGGCCTTTCAATACATGATAAATATCTGCCTACTACTTGTGATTAATAGTGAATTTAAACATGAACCAGGGGCTCTAGATGGGTCACAAAGCCAAAGGGTAAACTGAAGATGGTGAACATAAGTAGCTGTTCCATCCTGGCCTGAAGGTAACAAAACCAAAGGTGAAGAGATGGCAACAAAATGCTGTTATTCCTTCCTGGCACGAAACTAAAAGATGTGCCAATGACAATAGATAAACTTAGTAATCCTTAGTCTAAGACCCATTGTGAGTTCTAGACCACGTAGCAACTCTCAGCTGAATACAAGGTTAGACCAGTGTGGGAGTTTGAATGGAATTGGCCCCATAAACTCATAGGGAGTGGCACTGTTAGGAGGTGTGGCTTTGTTGGAGCAGGTATGGTCTTGCTGGAAGTGTGTCACTGTGGGGGCAGGCTTTGAGGTTTCCTTTGCTCAAACTATGCTCAGTGTGGCTCAAGCTAATATAAAAAATAAGCCAAGGGGAAGTGCTGTGGGATGTTCTGTATGGCAAATGTGTTGCTCTGATTGGTTAGTAAATAAAACACTGATTGGCCAGTAGTCAGGCAGGAGGAAGTATAGGTGGGACAAGGAGGAGAAGAATTCTGGGAAGTGGAAGGCTGAGTCAGAGACACTGCCAGCCGCTGCCATGACAAACAGCATGTGAAGATGCTGGTAAGCCACGAGTCATGTGGCAAGGTATAGATTTATAGAAATGGATTAATTTAAGATATAAGAACAGTTAGCAAGAACCCTGCCACGGCCATACAGTTTGTAAGCAATATAAGTCTCTGTGTTTACTTGGTTGGGTCTGAGCGGCTGTGGGACTGGCAGGTGAGAGAGATTTGTCCTGACTGTGGGCCAGGCAGGAAAACTCTAGCTACAAGTTCACTTCCTGTTGCCTCCGGATCCAGATGTAGAACCCTCAGCTCCTTCTTCAGCACCATGTCTGCCTGCATGTCACCATGTCCTGTCATGATGACAATGGACTAAACCTCTGAAGCTGTCAGTCAGCCCCAATTAAATATTTTCCTTTATAAGAGTTGCCATGGCCATGGTGTCCCTTCACAGCACTAAGACAACCAGATTATGTGTGTGTGTGTGTGTGTGTGTGTGTGTATGTGTGTGTGAGAGAGAGAGAGACAGAGAGAGAGACACAGAGAGACAGAGAGACAGAGACAGAGAGAGAGACAGAGAGACAGAGACAGGGACAGAGACATAGACAGGGACAGAGAGAGCAAACCAAGGCCTTGCTATGTGACCACTCAGCCTAGCTTGGAACTTGCTATGTAGCCCAGGCTGGCCTTCAACTTGGGTTGATATTCCTGTCTCTACCTCTCAAATAGTGGGACTAAAGGTGTGCTTCACTATGTTTGACTAGAAACCAAACAGTACTTAGGTTAACTATTTTCTCTTAGTTGGCCCTGATGGGTGGACCACTGCCTTCATGTACAAGGTCTGGGTCATTTTGGGAAGAGGGCAGTATCATACTTCTTTAATTAACACTGCAAGGGACAGAGAACCTAAGAGCACTCTTCCTCTTTTTCCTTTGTTCCCATCTTGTCTTCCCTAAATGTTTTTTTTAAATTATTTTATTTTATTTTACAATATAATTTAGTTCTACATATCAGCCACGGATTCCCTTGTTCCCCCCCTCCCGCCCGCCCCCCCCTCCCCCCCCAGCCCATCCCCCATTCCCACTTCCTCCAGGGCAAAGTCCGTGTCGTCGTCCGTCCCCCCCCCCCCCTCCCCGCAGACTGCGATCAACCTGGTAGACTCAGTCCAGGCAGGTCCAGTCCCCTCCTCCCAGGCTGAGCCAAGTGTCCCTGCATAAGCCCCAGGTTTCAAACAGCCAACTCATGCACTGAGGACAGGTCCCGGTCCCACTGCCTGGATGCCTCCCAAACAGATCAAACCAATCAACTGTCTCACCTATTCAGAGGGCCTGATCCAGTTGGGGGCCCCTCAGCAATTGGTTCATAGTTCATGTGTTTCCATTCGTTTGGCTATTTGTCCCTGTTCTTTATCCAACCTTGGTCTCAACAATTCTCGCTCATACAAACCCTCCTCTTTCTCGCTAATTGGACTCCTGGAGCTCCACCTGGGGCCTAGCCGTGGATCTCTGCATCCAGTTCCCTCAGTCATTGGATGAGGTTTCTAGCACGACAATTAGGGTGTTTGGCCATCCCATCACCAGAGTAGGTCAGTTCTGGCTGTCTCTCGACCATTGCCAGCAGTCTGTTGTGGGGGTATCTTTGTGGATTTCTGTGGGCCTCTCTAGCACTTTGCTTCTTCCTATTCTCATGTGGTCTTCATTTACCATGGTCTCCTATTCCTTGTTCTCCCTCTCTGTTCTTGATCCAGCTGGGATCTCCCACTCCCCCAAGCTCTCTTTCCCTCGGCCCTTGCCAAGAAAGACACGGGGATTGCCCAATGACAGAGAAATGGATGGGATCTATATGAACAGCCTGGACATGAGTGGGGGTAATGAAGGGCCCTAGATGTTTTTGATTTACTGTGTTAGAAAGTGTAACTTCCCAGGCAGCAAGATGACTCAGCAGGTCAGAGTTCTTGCCTTCCAGCCTGAAAAGTTGAGTTTGCTCCCTGGGTCACACATGGTAGATGGAGAAAACTGACTCCGGTGGTTTGTCCTCTGACCACATATGCACCCAGGTATACACACACACACACACACACACACACACACACACACAGAGTAAATAAATGTAATTGTAAAAGCATAACTTCCTATCTCTCCATATTCAGTCCCCTTTCAAGGACATTCTTCCTCCAATAAAATCTCCTAATGTTCTGTTCTGTGTCTAGTTAAAATTATTATTTTTTTTAAATTTGGAGAAAATTTTTAATTAATTAAATTACAATTTCATATGGGTATAATTTCTTTTGCTCACATTCATCCTATCACTTTCTCCTGTGTCATTCCGTGTTCTGCTGTGAATCTATGGGGTCAGATCTAGTTTGAATTCCCTGTTCTGCTCTCCATTACTCCCCAGATTTCAGCATGCCATTTAGCTCATTTCATTGCTATAAGGTATGACCAGTGTTACCACTGGCTCACTCTCCTCCCCCGATCCTTCTCTCCCTTCCCCTCCCAGTTCTACATGTTTTGCACTAAAGTCCTTGGAGTTTCAGTTAATCGGACTTGAGGACATCCTTGCATAGGTCCTTCCTTGGACTTTAAGTCTCCAACTCGGTTCCTCTCTCACTACAGTGAAGAAGCACCACTTGGTCCACTCACCAGCTTGCCAATGATCCAGCTGATAGTCACCCCCTCAAATGCGCTTGCAGATGAGCCTGTGTCCATCCGAGCCACAGGCCTGCCTCCGTCGCAGATAGTGACCATCAAGGCGACACTGAAGGATGAGAAGGAGAAGCTCTTCCAATCCAAAGCCTTCTACAAGGCCAACGAGGCTGGCGAGGTGGACGTGGAGCGGGCATCAGCCTTGGGGGGTGACTACGTAGGGGTCCACCCAATGGGCCTCTTTTGGTCTCTGAAGCCGAAGAAGGTTTTCCAGAGGCTGATGAAGAAAGACGTGATGAATAGCCCCTTTTGTATCACTCTGGACCTGTATGACTCTGTTTGCTTGGTAGATTCAGCCACGATTAGACCCAAGGCCTGCCAGATGGTGCAGCGTTGGTTTGCTGGCCCTGGGGTTCAGCGGAAGCAGATCCGAGAAGGTCGGGTACGTGGAGCCCTTTTTCTACCTCCAGGTGAGAATCATCTTTGTTGATACAGAACATAATTTTTTCTACTTGTGACCTCTTTTTACTGTAGGAATTTTAACATGATCCTGGGTATATAAATATATGAGATAGGTGTAGAAAGCAGAGAGTTACTGATAATAAAACATAGAAAATGATTTTAAAACAGTTCCTTGGTATACACATGATTTTACCACTTATTAAAGAAGAAAGCAAATTTGCACGCTGATGATATGTATGGGCTTACCTAGAATTAAACTTTGGTAGACTATTTTAGATTATAGGACATGGACAGGATATCTTCAATGTTTTCAAAACTGGCTTTTGGTGTTGATAATTGTCAATGCTAAGAAATCTGCTTCACATAAATATGTAGTATGGAATGGCATCAGCATGCTTTACAACCATTTAAAAACTTGTTGAAAAATTTTACCCATACATACACACACACACACACACACACACACACACACACACACACACACACACGTCCACATGAGAGTACACATTTATTTCATCTGAATTGTTACCAATATTCACTTATGTGAGCCCCATATTGATTTGTGACCGACAATTTCAGAAGCTGCGCGCGTACATGCGTGTGTGAGCATGTGTGAGTGTGTACCCTGTGCCTGTATGTAATTCATTTGTGTTGCGTTTGTTTTCACTGCTGTACTCAACTCTCTTTCGATCCCATTTTCTTGTTTCTTTTTTCTCCCAGGAGAAGGTCCTTTCCCAGGAATTATTGACATGTTTGGGAGTGTTGGAGGTCTAATTGAATTTCGTGCCAGTCTTTTGGCTTCCCATGGCTTTGCAGTCCTGGCACTAGCGTATTTTGCCTATGAAGACCTGCCTGATAAACTGCTGGAGACTGACTTGGAATATTTTGAGGAAGCTGCCAACTTCCTACTAGCTCATCCCAAGGTACTTAAAATACTTTTTGCTTCATCTCGCAAAATTATAGGAAAGACAAACTACAAAGGTCTGGTCTAATCAGTGCAGCCTTGGGCAGAGCACAGCTTACATTTTAAGAACGATAGGATAGTTGAGCTGGTTAGTAATTACTGTTTACTGGCGTACAGAAGACAATGAATACATGGGGCACATATTGTGATTCTCTTCACTGGGAAAAAGCCAAGACGTGTTACATTTGAAGCTCTCACAATGTATTCATAAGAGGCTCTTCAATGTTCTATCAGTCACTGATCCTGAATCCTGAACTCAATATGCTTGCACACATCAGTGATGGTCTCAACATGTCATGCTAGTGTAGGTCACACTAAAGGATCTGAGACCAACACTAATGCAGAAGTTCAGAACTGAAATTGAAGCACAAGAGTACAACACAATTACCAACCAAACTTACTTGGTCCAATACTCTGACTTCCTGAATTAGCTCTTCAGTTATTTTAAGAGCTATGGGTTGGAGAACAAAGTAAATAGCCAATGTCAGGAACTGGACGCAGGAGAGAAATCTGAAAAGGAAGGGTCCTTTTAGAACTCATGGCTAAGTATCACTGCAGCAATGAAATGGGGGCCATGGTCTAGTGGCCTCAGCATCACCTGAGATGTGATAGAAAGGAAAACTTCTAATCCCTAGTTCATAATCAGCATTTTCATGTTAACATGAAAATGAATGTTTCTTCTACACATTAAAATTTGAGAAGGACTGGAGTACACCTCATAAAGTAGCTTTTCCTAGGAAGTAAATATCAGTTGAATTGTGACTTAATTTGCTTGGAGAGGTCCTACAGTGTTGATATTTGTGCTACTGACTTAGATGTGTGTGTCCAAGCTAACAAAGGTAAAATAATAAAGGCACAACCCTGACATTTGCTCGGTGACTATTAAGCACTCCATTCACTAGAAATATTTGATATGCACCATCCCATCCAACATTCACAGCAGCTTCATGGCATAAATACCAAAGGCTGAACATTTCTAACTCAAAAATCTGAAATCTGAAATTATAACATTTGAATGTAAACACAATGGACTCCTGTGTGGATTTCAGATTTCCACAGTGCAGCTTCTCTGCCAACAGATTCTGTGCAAATATTTCGAAGTCTGAACGCTCCAGATTTGAAACACTCTTTCTATGAGCTTTTCAGATGAGGGCTATTTCATCTGCAACAGCATTTCTTCTCCTTCTCCTCCTTCTTCTTGTAATTCTCATTTTTGTTCTTATTGTTCTTCTTGTTCTTGTTTTTCTTGTTCTTGTCCTTCTCCTTCTTGTTCTTGTTCTTCCTGTTGTTGTTGTTCTTCTTCTTCTCTCCTCCTCCTCCTCCTCCTCTTTACTTCTTTTTCTTCTTCCTCCTCTTTGTGAGAAAGCTTACTCAAATGAAATGTATCAAGACCATAAAGCTAGAAAGTGACATAGTCTGGCAGTGTCTTTGTTCCAACTATCAAGTGATATTTGACCCCCTAGCTCTAGCATTCTGTTCACTCTAAACATGGACAGGGACAGCCTGACTTATCAAGGAGAGGACAGTATTTTCTATTGCTTCTGCCTTTGTAGGTAGAGTTTTTAGTTAGGACCATTGGTCAGTTCTGTCCTGCCAGCCCACTCCCAAATAACCACACAGAGACTTATTATTAATTATAAATGCTTGGCTGATAGCTTAGACTTGTTACTAACTAGCTCTTTCAACTTAAAGTAAGAGCTAGTTAGAAACTAACTCATTTTTATTATCTACACATTACTATGTGGTGGTACCTTTTTTCAGCACAGCATATTCATCTCCTGCTTCTTCTGCACCTCTGGCTGGTATCCCCCTGTGGCTCTGCCCTTCTTCCCAACATCCTCTCAGTTTGGCTCTCTTGCCTAACCTCTTCTTGCCTAGCTATTGGTCAGTCAGCTCTTTTACTAAACCAATCAGAAGTGCCTTGGCAAAGACACATCTTCACAGTGTATAAAAAGATTATTCTATAACATGCCTGTCCAGAATGCTCTTCTGACCTCACTCACCTGTCAAATTGCTTCCTTCTGCATATTCAGTCAGGGTCAGCTCTTAGATTAATGAGGTCAATAATATATGTGTAAACCTTTGTAGCTGTACACTAATATTTACATGGGAATTTTGCTTGTAGAATGTTTGAAAAAATCTAGCAAACATACTACACTACCCCCCTGTGTGTGTGTATGCGTATGCATGCACATATGTATATTAGGTAAATGTGCGTGTGTGAGGCCATGTAGGCCAGAAGTTCAAAGTTGATGTCCTTCCTTTTTCAACATCTACCTTGTTTGTAAGGCAGGACTTCTCAGTGGCCTGATACTGACCATATCCACTAGGCTGGCTGGCCAGTGAGCCCTTGGGATTTGCATGTCTCTGTGTAGATGTATCCAACCTTCTTATTAAATAAGAAACACAGAACCAATGCAAAGAAGAAAGCCAAGAGGTCAGAGCTAAGAGCTAAAACCTTACCCTTCCTCCTGTGGTGGCCCTACCTCTCCGAACCAGAGCTACCCCTGTGTTAAAGTCTTTATATAGAGTTCCTGTCCTGCCTTCTCATTGGTTGTAAACCCAACCACATGACCGCCTCCTCACGGCCTGTCTGTATAGGCCTCCAGGTTTTCCATGATTGGTATTAAGAATAAAGGCATGTGTATCCAATAATGGCTGTATCCCTGAACACACAGAGACTTACCCAGCTCTGCCTACCAAGTGCTGGAATTACAAGTGTATGCTACCACTGCCCTGCTTTCCTATGGCTTGCTAATAGATCTGACCCCCGGGCAACTTTATTTATTAACATACAAATAACATTTTAATACAAATAAAATATCACCATATTTCCCCTTTTCTATTTTAATAAAAAGGAAAAAAAAAGAAAAAGCTTATAACTAATATAAAAAAACTATATACAAAAGTACAATAACTATATATAATATATACAAGTAATAAATACCTAAACAATGTCTAGTCCATTTGTATTTGACAAATTCAGAGAAAATAATTTCATTATCTATCCTATTTTGGTAAGTCCAAAATGTATCCTAATTAATCTTCAACTATAACTAACTAAACTTCAACTATAACTAACTAATCTTCAACTCCCTCAGAGACCCAAGAAGGAAATAATATTAGCTAACAAAAATAAAAACAGGAAGTGCATGCAAGCAACTTCCAAAAAATTTGTGAGTTGACAGAAACAGCCAGCTGTCTGGACAGTCACCTGAGGTTTCTCCGCAGTGCTGGGGCATCATCTTCAGCCTATAGGCTTAGCATATCTGACAGACTCATTTGTGAAGTAGGATGTACACAAGGTCAACAGTTCAACCTCACATTGAGTGAGAGTAGTCCATGTACCAGAAACACCTGAATTCCACTAGTGTCATGTCATGATTCAGGATTTTAAATTCTGGAAATTGTTGATGGTTTTTTAATTCAGCTGTCCATTCTTCTTGGCTGTGTATATATGGCTTCATCTCAGCATCCCATTCTTCTCCATATCCCTCTACCAAATGCCAGTCTACTATTGAGAGGCATGAGCTTAGTTACTCTTCAAGAATAACTGTTTCAGCTGCTGTTCCATTGCACATCAGAGGCCATCGGCCCACTGCCTGTTCAGCTGCCTTCGAAGAAAAGGGCACTGTACCTTTTCCGAATTGCGAAGGCCACTTCAGGGATGGTGCCATATTGTCCTGGCCTCTGAAGATGCCTTTTGATAAAGCCATAACCACACTTGTTTTGGCAAGAATCAGTAGTCCTTTGTTTCATGTCCTGTCTGTTCATTTTGTCCGGTTGATTCGAGGATACTTTGTTGTCCAGTGGCTAACTTTTGCCACAATGAAAGCTAACTCCATATACAGTTTCTTCAATGCCCATATTTTCTCTGAAGTAGATTGGTACTGCCAGGAGCCGACATGTCTCATAGTCATAACAAAAAAGAAAAATTTTCTAAGTTATTAAAACATTTTAAATGCCATATTCTGTAGATCTCTGAAGGGTTTGAAGATAACCTGTCTATCTAAAATATATCTACTCAATCTTGAAAACATACCTAATATAACTACAAGTTCTATTATAATGTCTAACTACTAACTTTCATTTCTTTATATCCTAATAGTTGGTAATAACATTCAAGGATCAGAAAATTGCATTACATTGTTAGATGAACGGTACAATTAAAAAAATATATATAACATTTTCTAACAATATCAATTTCAATATATATAATTTGTATACAATATAAAACAATCCAATCCAATGTAAAGTATTTACATTTTTCTTTTCTTTTCTTTTCTTTTTTAATAAGAATCTTAAATCTAATCTCCTTTGCTTAGCCTTTTTCCTAACCCTTGACTTGTAAACAACCCCCCTAATCAATGAAAATTATCCCAGACCCAAAACCCATTAAAAGACCAAAAAAACCAACCGCCCCACACCACCTCTTTGGGAATGTGGGCATCGTATTCTTGAAATTGCTTCCTGCTGGGTATGGGTGAAGGTATCTTTATCCTGAAAGAAAAATTTTAGGTTAATTGTCAAATTCTAGGAAAGGTAAATATATCCTTCGTTATCCAGTCTGTGTATAATGCCAAAATTCAGGGCTTATCTCAAATCCTTATTCAAGTAGTCTTTGAGACTGGATCATCTCAGCTAGCTCTCTCAAAATTGCTCTGAGCACTTTGTAGTTCAAAGCTGATCTGTAGATGATGCTTGTCAGCTTAGTGATGTCATTATTGTCCACGTGGAATTGTTGTTGTTGTGGGGCCCCATCTTCTTCCTGGAGACTTCAGTTGATGTTAGGCCTAACCGTGATTTCCTGCAAAAAACTGATAAGAGACTCGAACACAAAGACTATATATGCAACTTTTTAGAATTAGTTAATACTCTATATGACCATTTATATCTTAAAGTTTAAAATGTATATATATCTATATATATTGATCTTGTAAATTTTGATATAAAATTCAT